AGAGTCACGACCATCCGTGAAACTCTCACGACCAGATGATGATGATGAACAAAACCAAATGAGATAGGCCTTATATAATTACAAGTAAAGGAGAACCTTGTGACCTAATAATACTAATACACTTGTATAAGGTATCCTGGACTCGTATTGTGTTTGTAGAGTAGATGTGGTCACGGAAAAAAGATCATAAAACCTACATGTTCCGCTTTCACACTTTTAAATAACATATGACACCAATGTAACTGAATACGAAAGTTCCTCAAAACAGTCAAATGTCGTAGAGATTGATTGAACAAAGACGTACTGGACAAGAATACTAATTTAAAGAGACACCAACTCTTACAAATATTTAGCGAGAATATTAAGCGAGAACAAGCCGAAACCTTGCATCTGCTTGGACAATAGTGAAACATGATACCGTGCCTTTGAAGTGTAGTTAGGTACTTAAAACGTGGTTAACGACGAGGAAGTGTACTAGTCAGAACCTGTGCCGTTAGAGAGAGAAGTATAGGGGAAACTATGGCAGAATACTTGCAGGGATTGCTTCTTGTGGGTTTCTGGGTTGTTTCTGGCCAGATTTGTTGTTTTACTCTGGCCCAGGAGTTCAGCGTTTACGTACCAGAAAACGTCGCTGTTGGAGAGACCATTTTCAGCCTACGAGGGAACCGGGCTGGACGAAAAGCGGAACTTCCGTGTGCCAAAATGGACGGAGATCCGTACGGCCGCTTTAATGTGACGGAGAACTGCACTATTGTGGTCGACAACCCTCTGGACTGGTCAGTACAGCAGGTATATCTGCTGAAAGTCCGCAGTGGAGTTGATGACGACATGACTGTTAAGGTAGAGTTGACTGACGTTAAAGGCTATCCTCCTGTGTATAACGAGACGTGTGGAACTCCGGTCAACCCTGACGGGGAGACGGGTGACTTACTATACAGTTTAGATTTCGCCTGGGGAGGTGTAACGATAGACGGTGACATTTTGTCTGGCAAAAGATCATTCACTAAACTCTCTGACATTTCTGACGATAAACCTGCTCCTTGGATGATCCATACAGACAACAGTGATTGTAACATTCGCATAGTTTTTTACAGCAACCATCTTAATGATGACTTATCGATGCAAAGTCTTTGGGACAGTCGCTTTCATCACTTAACGTGTATAGTGGATTACAAAACACCGAAACTATCAGGGGACCTGATTTATCATAAGCGGGGTGAAATTATCACATCAGATGTTTTAATACAGTTTGTTCCTAAATCTGTCGTGGAAGACAAAATTCACAACTATTTCGTTACCATTTCATGGTCATTTCCTACAACAAAAGCGAAGTGGTATAACTGTGAAATTCCACATTTCAGTACCCCAGTCAGAACAGCAACTTACAAATTGGTAAATGTTGAATATATGGACATTGGAATAAAACCAGTGGGCTGTCCAGTAGGACAATACGGCTTACTCTGCGACAAAACCTGCATCTGCAAGAACGGCGCCCGCTGCCATGGGTTTAACGGCGCCTGCAAATGTCCGCCCGGCTGGAAAGGTGTGGCCTGTGACATTCCCAAACAGGACGTCTCCATCACTACGACACCTAGCGACCCTCAACGCATCTACATCTCCGCAAACCTCACGTTTCACTGCAAGGCCCACCATGTCGACGTCACGTACATGTCGGTCAAATATCCAAATGCGACAGAGAAGGTCGGCTTCGGAGTAACTAAGATTGACTTTGTGGTTCCGAACATTCATCCGACCAACAACGGACCCTACAGCTGTCAGGTCCGAGACACACGGGGAAACACACTCAACACCACGTTTGTACTCAATGTTACCAACTGTGCTCCAGATAGAAAAGGTCCCGGGTGTGACGAAGTGTGTGATTGCCTTCAAGGTGCCAGCTGTGACCGGTGGGCCGGCTGTGTCTGTCCGCCGGGATGGACGGGAACCAGGTGTCAAACAAAATGTCCCCATGGCACGTACGGTAATGACTGTGCAAGGAACTGTACCTGCCAAAACGGTGCAAACTGTAGCCCCAGCGTTGGTCAGTGTAACTGCACTGCCGGCTGGTACGGTAGGGATTGTAGCAAACCGTGTCTGAAAGGTCGGTTCGGTCAGGGTTGTTCTGGTATTTGTACCTGTAAGAACAATGCCACATGCAGTAACGTGGACGGCAGCTGCGCGTGTGTGACGCCGTGGACGGGACGGAACTGTGACCAATGGCAGACAAGCAGAGACGAACCGCTGCTCGAAAGCCTGGTCCCACTGGGCACCTTAGTCTTCCTTGTTGCCATAGTGACCACAATACTCTACAAAACTGGCATTATGGCCTGTTCCGCGCCCGACGCAGGCGAGGAGGAGAAGATCATTTTCGAGTTAAGGAGAATGGAGCAGGATCTAGCACAGAGCCTACAGCCGGGCTGGCTGGGACGTTGGGAGAAGAAGATTCACCATCTTACTCCTGGTCCCCTGATTGGGGAGGGAAAATTTGGGCTAGTCAGAAAGGCACAACTGTGCACGCCTAAGGCCATGTTGATTTGATCATATGGATGACATCCTCTGGGAACCCCAAAACTGATGCGCGCGTGCGAATAAAAAAAAGTTTTGCAAAAAAAAAAAGTTGCTTTCACTATGAAATCTACGTGGTCATGAAGGTTGAACAAATGGCACAGAATATGTTATGGCGAATAATCTACTCTTCGAATTCATTTCTTTACATTTTTGTCTTTTTTCCTTTGATTTTGGCATTCTACGACATTGGCATCGTTTCTAAATGTTTTCCTTGCAACTTATGGTATATTTTTGCTCATTTAGCAACTGTTTTGCACGATTTACAGTATGGTTGAAAACTTTTTTTTTCTTGGAAACGGCCGAAAATTCATGCGCGCGCGGATGTCATCCATATAATCAAATCAACATGGCCTAAGGGAGAGCTTCTCGTTGCTGCCAAGACAGTTCGCGTCGAGGACTCGCAGTCCTATCGAGACTTTTACAGAGAAGCAGCCATACTGGTTGCCATGCACGAACAACGAAATGACGATTGTCGCGAGTCCAATATTGTTCGTCTTGTTGGGCTCATCACCAAGTCTACAGAGAAGTACATTCTCCTGGAATATGCCCCAAAAGGTGATCTCCTGGGTTTACTTCGCCGAATACCAAACGTCAACGAAGAAGGCCTACTTGGAAGCATTCTTGGATACGCAGTTGACCTAGCACGAGCTCTCCAAGAACTGGGACGCTTGAGAATCGCCCATCGTGACGTGGCCGCTCGAAACGTCCTCGTCATTGCCGGTGATGTGGCCAAGTTGGCTGACTTTGGACTGGCCAGAGATGTCTACACCTCTACTCAGTATGTACGAAGAGACAGTCCAGGCGCTGACGAACTCCTACCGCTGAAGTGGATGGCGCTGGAGTCCATCGAGACCGGTGAGTACACCTGCCAGAGTGACGTCTGGTCCTTCGGCGTGCTGCTGTGGGAGATCGCCACGCTGGGGAAAGATCCGTGCTACAATGGCAGGATTCAGCTGAGCTTTCTTCAGATGGTGGGGATTCTGAGGCAAGGAAAGCGGCTGGAGATGCCAGAGGGATGTCCGGAGGACCTGTACGGACTGATGAGGGCATGTTGGCGCGACGTTCCAGATACAAGACCGACTCCAGAAGAGCTAGAAGAGAGTCTGCTGCAACTGACACGTGCGCTGCTTCCACATGACGTCATTGAAATGGAAACTGTTGTGTAATACTTTATGCTATAAACCAATTTGAAGATAAGTAGAAACGATGACAATCAAACTGCACCCAAAACGATCCAAATATTTAGTGACAACTACCAGAGAAGATATTCATTAGCTACTAATGCTGGAGTAAAATTTTGTTTAATTGTAAGTATTTCTTAGTCTGTTTGTATGGTAGTAATTTTGATACTAACAGTGTTGTCTTGATGTCATGATTTAGGTGTTAAAGCTTAGTTGTACACAAGTTTATCGTCTGAACCAATGTAATCACATTACAAAACAAAGGGTGTGCGACGACAACATATTAAGACAAGCACATTATTTTGTTTACGAATGCATGTAGTGACTGGCTACAGTCGATGCCTTCTCCTCAACAAAAATTTAAACTAGGTAAAATAGTCCTCTTTGTCATGTGATGGTCCAAACGCTGTTATTGTTTCAAGTTGCTTTCTTTTATGCCCGGGCAATAAAATACTCAAGGCCATACTGACTTCTTCTTTTTTTTTTATTCCAACATGTAATCACCAGACATTGTGACGGCACACTCAATTTTTTTCAACTTATATTAATGCCTCCACCAACACATGGGACAAATACATGACAGGACAATACTCATTTTCACCTGAGCGAAGTGAGGAAAGTCGTGTAAAGTGGCTTTCCTAAGATCGGTGGCATGTCAGGACTCGAACCCGGGACCTCTAGGTTCTGAGTCGAGCACTCTGCCGCTACACCACACGACCCCATACTGACTTTTTCTGATACATGACATTGTATCCCCAAACTGATCATGATGTGAGCTCGAAGAATGTTGGTTTCTAGATTCTCGATTTCTATATATCTACTGGTAAGCGAACTCTAATTAAAAATGATCTGTTCAACGCTACCGCTACCCAACCTTTGCCCAACCCGCCCTGCCCAACATAGATAGCATGAGCACGTCGGCAGAACGTACTGCGACTGCGCAAAACCCAAATTTTTAACGGTTTTCGTTAGGTTTTTGGTCAGCGTTACATCAGACTTTTTCCTGTTATCTTTAGTTTTCCAACATAACATTTGGAAACTACGGAAAGGATGTTTACCTTATATGCACAAATACGTCACCTTAATTTGGTGACCGTCTGCCGAAGAGCTATGCACAGTACACAGTACACAGTACAGTAAATTAGTAGTAGTAGTAGCAGCAGTAGAAGTTGTTATAGCACTAGTAATAGCAGTAGTAAAAGTAGTAGCAGTATAGTAGTAGTAGTAGCTGTAAGAGTAGCAGTAGTAGTAGTAGTAGTATACTAGTAGTAGTAGTAGTAGTAGTAGTAGTAGTAGTAGTAGTATAGTAGTAGTATAGTAGTAGAGTGCACTCCTTTTGAGTCAGGTACATCGGGTCGCCCCTACTGTAAGAAATATACTACAAGTGACAATGCTACAAGCAAAAAGCTGCAGGTAGATTTCTCCGCTTCACCAGTGGTGATTTCTTTTCCCATGAACCTCGGCACCTCCTCATTCCAGAACTTCATGTTGGACTCCCGCAGTCTGACGTCAGAAGATGACGTCACGTCCAGCTTCAGGTAGGCTTGGGATGACGTCATGTAGCGTGGCCAGTTCACTAGGTCACGCATGCGCGATGACCCCGACGAGTTATTGGGGTCTCTGTAAGAATTGGAAAGAAAAAAAAATAGCAAACAAATTGAATGAAGGTTAGACATCCAGGTAATAAGATACGCCAAAAAGCAATTACTCAAGCAACTGGATATGATTTTGGAAACAGTAAGACGTTTCAGCTAGTATCCACTAGCTTTCGTCAGTGACTGAGAGACCAGAGGAGAAATGCAGGTTTATAAGCACAAACTATTGATTGATATGCAAATAAGTGAAGACAATTTCAGTCACTGACGAAAGCTAGTGGATACTAGCTAAAACGTCTGACCGTTTCCAAAATCATATCCAGTTGCTTGAGTAACTGCTTTTGGGCGCATGGCGTATGATAAACTGGAGATTTGAAACCTCCGTGAAATATCTAACTTTTTTGTGTGAATTTATTGGTCCTCCCACGGCCGCATTTTTTCACCTTCACATTTTTTGGCAATCTTTGACACTGTTTTCTGATTTTTAATGAAGAGATTTGAGGGGACAAGGACTTCACAAGGGATGAGCCTATTTTACCCTGCAGGCTACATACTGTGTTCTGCTAGCCTCTACCAGGCTTCGGGAGGCGGCTGGAAAGAGCAGAAATCGGCCAAATAGAGAAATAACATGCTGGGTGCGGCAAAATGTATTCTCCCGCAGACAAACTCCCCTGGCATGTTATCTCTCTATTTGACCGATTTCTACTCTTTCCAGCCTCCTCCCGAAGCCTCTTAGAGGCTACCATGAAGCCACTCACCCATTGGCGGCGAAGTTGACCCAGTACGTCATCATGTCCAGACTCAGGTCCCGTTCCTCCTCCGTGAAGCCGTACTTCCAGGAGGTCCCAGTGTCGTCACGAAGGAAGGGGATCCCGAACGTGTAGTACAGCTCGTCCCCGTGGTCGGCGTTCGTGTAGGGCGGTCTGTCCGCAAACACTGCCGAGCGGCGCTGGAACTCGTACTGGTACACCCGAGTGTCGTGCGCTGGGAAGGAGACCGAGAAAATTGATTTTTATTTTATTTTATTGTTTGCACATTAACAAAGCAGGCAATAATAATACAAAACAAGGATAAAACAGGTGCAGGAGGAGGGGAGAAGCATGGAATGCTTATACTAGGCCCTCCTCCTCTAAACTATACAAAATTAAATATAATCAATAAATGGAAATAATACAATAGAAAATGGAAATAATACAATAAGGATAATCAAATAATGTACGGTAAAAGTTAATGACAATGAAAATATAAAATTCGAAATTAAAAACAAGACTGGGAATGAAAACATACATTGCCATGGGGACGGTGGTTGCTGTTAGGGTTATTGTTTGCATGGCACTGCCATCATTTCATGATTTTGAGGAAGACTTGGTACCTATAAGTCTAGACAGATACAGTGCACTCCTCCCCTGAGTGTATAGTGAACGAGCCCCGGGGTCATAGAAAGTAGGGCCATCCAGGGCAGAGAGGTCTTCCCAAGGGTTCCAGGAATATGGGCATACATGTAGATGTGGGTCAGAAAAATGCCTGTGGACATTCCATGCCTGTGGACAACATACCTGTACCATTCCTAGAATTCTTGCAAACTGCACACAATACTGTACCATTAGGCTCCTCCCTGAGACGTCGCCAAAAACAGAAGAAGGTTGTGAAGCCCGTTTTACACTCACTCACTAAATCGAAATTCCCTTTGACTGTTTTCCATCTCTTCCTATCTTTTATTTCTACCATCTGATGTTTCTTCTGTCAAGCTTGGTGTCGTCTATCTATTGGTCAATGTAGTCTCTTGTTGGAGGGACTAGACTTTTTTTCCATGTGTGGGTTCCCACATGCGTAGCTGGTGTATACGTATGATTTCGCCCTTACTTCTGCAGCAATATCCAATTTGACCTTTTACACAAAACCGAATATAAATGAATGAATGAACTTATTTGCTTGACAGTTTTACATGTATTGCAACGTTATCAATGACAATGTGATCAATACAATACGACTTTTCTATGAAACTATTACACAATGAATGTGAATGCAAACGGGGTATTGACATGATGTACGTTAAACACTTCTGTCTGTTAATACTAGTACCTTCCTTTGTGAGGCATTACATATATATTGGCCTTTTAACTAGTACGTAGATATGGAGTAGGGGAATGACATTACTAGTAAAATGTGTTTGTCTTTGGGAAAGGTTTACTCTCATGCACGTGATCATTATGGCTTCACCACTATAGCCTCGGTCACAACCCGCCGTACGTGCTTCTGCGTGCTGTCTACGTGCAAAAACGTGGGCAAACGTAGGGCATTCGTGCGTAGTGAGTACCACCTCCGTACGGAATCCTACGGATTTGGGAGCACGCAGACACGCCGTAGAACTTTAAGTGCAAGTAAAACTTTTTCTACGTGCGGTCTACGGATTCACCACCCGTACGTGCGAGTACGAGCGACGCGCATGCCCCGTACGTGCCGTACGGAAGAAGCACGTGTGAGCACGGCCTCCTTACGGTAAAGTTGCAATCGCACAGAGATCGTACGTTGTAAGCGCGTACACCTCACTTACCACTTGCGCAACGTACGATGCACGCAACCGCTCACGGCCAGACGTGGCGTGCAGACCACACTCTTACACTTTGCGCAACCGTGCAAGTGACGTGCGAGTGCCGTGCGTCGACGCCACTCCTTCCCTACGTTTTCAGAAAAAAACGTAGCAGACGTAGCCTCCCAAAAAACGTACGGACAAAAAGCACGTACGGAGGGTTGTGACCGAGACTTATGTGGTGATGTAGCCATGTGGGCGGGCTGGTATGCGTAGAATAGTGCTATAGTCAGACTAGAGGCCTGACCGGTGGAGGGGTTGCTAAAAGCGTGATGTCGGGTCACCTGACACCGCCTGAGCCATCAGCACAGTCGGTGCCGTGAACCACGAGTCTGTCATCAGCTGGATGGCCTGGCCACGTATGTAAATCGGGTCGTCCGCCATGTTGGTGTCCCGGATGTACTGGTCTATCGTAGGCTGCACGATGGAGCTGACATTGCCACCCTGGGAGATAGAGTTTTAACGCAAATTAGCTGAATTCTTGCCCGTCATTGTGTAACCTATAGCTAGGTGCCTCATGAGAAGCGTTTGAAAAGAGTAGCAAAAGTTTAAATATAGATATCTAAAGGGGGGGGGGGGCATGACATTTACGTTAAGCGAGTCATCCGTTTGGTCCCCGCTAGAAGATAGTCTACACTAATTAGTACAATTTGCAGCGGACCAACTTCCTACGCATATTATCTTTCCGTCTATTTTGCCATGCTATACTCTTTCCACACGATTATGAAGCCTGGTAGAGGCTATCAGGAGACTGTCATGCAAGGCCCACGATTCTCGTTCGTACCGTCCTTTGATGGGGATTTGGGGATAGCCATGCATGTGACGTAAAAAATCTAAGTCTTGTTGCTTAAAGTCTGCTTTGGATCCTTGTCGGTTGTTACGTTTACCGAAGGAAAACGTATTGTTTTTACTCAGTTTCTTCCTCCTCTTCTGTTCCAAACACTAACCTCTGACCTGACCAATGACATGATTTGTTGACGTCTGTCACCATGGTGACTGGTGTTGGGTTACATAATGTTGCAATTTCATGGTCTGCTCAACTCCTGTCACCATATACTAGAAGTACATGTAATTATGTGAATGTGTTTGAGTAAAAATTAACAGAGCAGACCATGTCCGAAGGTAAACATTATGCATTTGCTTTGTAAATGTTACTTCTTTAGTTGCTTCTGTCTCAGTGAGTCTGCTTAAAAAAACCTACTACATGTACAGGAAAATCGCGCGACTGCCTAAACTGATGTGACTCACGGGATATTGGTCGGCAACGTATGCCAGTTGAGCCGGTAATATAGCCTCGAAATCAGTCCTGTTGAGGCCGTCAGCAGTCACTTGCGGGGTTGCAGCCAGCAGCCCGTAGCCGTCGTCGTTGTTTGTGCCCAGAAGGTAGTCAACCTCGTTTACCTGCTTCTTGTGCATCATATCCTGCAATGAACAAAAACATAACCGTCCAACACTGAACAGAGACGGGGGGCGACACAGGTTATCTGACAAGTACGACCCTTTGCTGCAATCACGTGTTTTTGACGTCACGTCCCGAAAGCTGCTGTAGAAGGGTCCATTCCGTGAGCATGGCTGACGGAGTCGGCCGAAAATTTGGGAATTGGCCGAAAAGTCCTAATTTGGATATTTTGTCATAAAAAAACTTCTCATATTTTGGTAAGAATAGTTGTGAAATGGGAATCTAGAAGCTCTGGGTGCGTTCTGGCCTGGGAAGCCGACTATGCACCATTTCCTCACTCGACTCAGGTTAAAATAAATCGTAACATTTCCGGCTATCATGGGGTGTCTTGGCCTGTTTTTTTTTTTATTTCGCCCTGTCGCTCCATATTTTATTCTAAAAAAAAGCGAGAAACAACAAATTAAATTGGTGTGACTTAACAAGACTTTAGAAAACATACCCATAGATTGTCTGGTAGAAAACGGCCGCCAACTATCGGAACTGATGGTTCAAACGTCAATAATTCCTGTGCTGGTTTGCTGTGGACGAGAAAGTAAACATTCTTCATTTAGCAAACAACTGATCTTGTGCATTTTCGGCAGTGTATGTTAGAAAAAACAAAATTTGAAATGTTTTCAACATATAAAACTTGGATGGACCAACCCCATATACTATAATTTTATCCAAACCATTTACTGTAATGTTATCTGCCATTCACGATTGTGTGACTAGTCAATTGCAAGGGCCAAAAAAAAAACGATCGGCGCCGCCTTATATACCGTATGATGTGGAAAATGATATCGATGAAGCATTATGTAACATTTTGTACCAAATATCAAAATCAAAACATTTTACTTGAAAAAGAATTATTTGACTCTAATTTACTTGTACTGTTCATCATATTTGTGCAATTATTCCACATTTCTGTCACCTATGGCGCTATTTAAAAGACAACGCGAGGTGCGCTCAGTTTGTGGTACCACCACAAAATATCAGAATGTCAAACAAAGTTGGCTGGTAGCTTTTTTTTCAGCTTAGACACTCGTGAGGTGTCATATTTTGGCACCTCCACTTCCTGATGGAGTAATGTTTATTCAACTTACTTTGAAAAGACATGACAAGAAATTTTACTTTTTGAATCGTTCTAATAATACGCCATAATGCAGCTTTGATATGCACCAATTTCACACTTCCCATAATGCCTAGTAAAAGTCACGGATATGACGTAAGACCACCCCCTCCCCCTTCCTCGATGTAATATCTCCAACAAGTTCTATCGACAAACTGGTCAACTATTGTTTTGAATTAGGCCATGTTGATTTGATTATATGGATGACATCCGCGCGCGCATGAATTTTCGGCCGTTTCCAAAAAAAAAAGAAGTTTTCAACCATACTGTAAATCGTACAAAACAGTTGCAAAATGAGCAAAAATATACCGTAAGTTACAAAAAAAAAAAACGCGATAACCATACCAATGTCGTAGAATGCCAAAATCAAACGAAAAAACACGAAATTGTAAAGAAATGAATTCGAAGAGTAGATTATTCGCCAAACCATATTCTGTGCCATTTGTTCAACCTTCATGACCACGTACATTTCATAACAACTTTTTTTTTTCAAAACTTTTTTTTTTTATTCGCACGCGCGCATCAGTTTTGGGGTTCCGGGAGGATGTCATCCATATAATCAAATCAACATGGCCTTATTTCTCTCGTATAAAGCGCATGCCATAATAATTGCATTTTTGTTGGAACTAGAGAAAATGACGTACCTTCTATCGTTCCAATATACGTAATGCGACCGTGCGTGTAGGAGAGTCTTCGATAGAAGGTAGAACGAACAAAACCAACAAAAATGCAATTATAGCATGCGCTTTATACCAGGAGAAATAATTCAAAACAATAGTTGACCAGCTAGTTTGTCGATAGAACTTGTTGGAAATATTACATCGAGGAAGGGGAAGGGGGGGTGGTCTTACTTCATATCCGTGACTTTTACTAGGCATTATGGGAAGTGTGAAAATGGTGAATACGTAGATGTAGAACCTACCCTCTCAGACACACGATCATGTCATCGAAGGACGCTGCAGTACAGTTGACCGCCGCAGCGAGCGCTTCAGTTTTTGTGGTGTCGCCCCTGCGGCTGGTCTTGATCCCTGCCACGCCGCTCTGAGAGATGGCCCGGCGGTACAGGCCGCGTGTCTCCGGGGACATGACGAGCAGGGACACGGCCCAGCCTCCCCCGGACTGACCGAAGACGGTGACTCGGTCGGGATCTCCTCCGAAGTTCCGGATGTTGGATTGAACCCACTGGAGGGCTTTTTTCTGTGATGGAAAAAAAAAAGAGAAAAAAATACGATTGAGTAAACTACAGTTAGATTGCTTAGCAACAGTTCAGAGTTTACTAATACTTGACAAATACTAATGCTTGGCAGTACATGAAACCGAGACCGTTGTTAGCACACATATAAGGCCATTTTGAATTGATAATGTGGATGACATCCACGCGCGCATGAATTTTCGGCCGTTTCCAAAAAAAAAGTTTTCAACCATACTGTAAATTGTACAAAACAGTTGAAAAATGAGCAAATATATACCGTAAGTTGCAAATGAAATATTGGAAAACGATACTGATGTCGTAAAATGCCAAAATCAAACGAAAAAAAAAGAAATTGTAAAGAAATTAATTTGAAGAGTAGATTATTCGGCACACCATACACTCTTTCATTTCTTCCACCTTCTTGACCGCGTAGATTTCATAATGAAAGCAACTTTTTTCCTTTTTTTTTTTGCACGCTCGCATCAGTTTTGAGGTTCCCAGGGATGTCATCCATATAATCAAATCAACATGACCCAACTAACCATGTCTAGGAGCCCGACGTTCCCGTCAGTATCGGGGTCTCTGGTTGGCAGGAAGCCCAGGTTACCAAGGCGATAGTTGATGGTTACCATGACGACGTTATTGAGTGACGTGGGGATCTCGGCAGGGTAGGTGTCGGCGCTTCCTATGCCCATACCTCCACCGTGTAACCACAGCATGACCTGGGTATATATACAACGACACAGTACTATACATGATAACGTACAGCAAAACAACTACATACAGCACACATAACTACATACAGCACATAGCTATGTACTAGATCATACTGGGCATCTACACACAACACATAAATGCACGCAACACATAACTACATACAGCACATAGCTACGTACTAGATCATACTGGGCATCTACACACAACACATAAATGCACGCAACACATAACTACATACAACACATAGTTACGTACTAGATCATACTGGGCATCTACACACAACACATAAATGCACGCAACACATAACTATATACAGCACATAGCTACCTACTAGATCATCCTGGGCATCTACATACAACACATAAATGCACGCAACACATAACTACATACAACACATAACTACGTATTAAACAACACACAACTACAAACAACACAAAACGTTAATTGCATACAACACATAACTACATATAGCAAGATATTGTTAATTTCATACAAGACATAACTACCTACAACAACATATCGTTAACTTCATACAACACATAACTACATGCAATACATATAACTACATACGGCACGTAACTATGAACACATAGCTACATTTGACACATAACTACGTACATACAACACATAACTACATACAACATAGAACTACATACGTCACATTGAGCTACGAACAAAACATAACTGCATACAACACATAGCTGCAAAGAACACATAAACTATATAAAAGAATAAAGCGCAAAATTACATACAAGGCATAGCTACATACATTACATAACCGCATACAACATGTAACGAAAAATAACACAACCGTACAACACACTGCATACAACACATAATTGCATGCATTCAGCGTATAACCGCATACAACACATAACTGCATTTAACGCATAGCATACATACAACACAAGTACAATAGCAGATAATGTCTGCTAATTATAAGCCACAAGCCCTTTCCCTGCCTGGAGAGCTCTCTCTCTCTTACCTAGGCTTTCTTTTCTTTCCATGTTTGACCACACCGACTTAATTTTATTGGATGACATCCGCGCGCGCATTGATTTTGCCTGTCGTCCTACAAAAAAAAATCACGTCCACCGAGGCTCTGGCCTGGCTCTAGGCCTGGGTAGTCCATGATAGCGACAATACGAAGCCGAGCACCAAGGCTATCGAATTCGAAGCCCCACGACTCAAGAACTCATTACATACGTACAGTAACGATTAATAAATTCCGCAAAAAGCCAACATGTGCCGGCTTGTCGTTTACGTCGCTGTGTATTGCCGCGAATTCACATACCAGCTTTGTATTCCTGTGATTTAGTAGCATTTTTATTTTCGGCCGGAATTTTTTTTATTCGCCCGCGCGCACTAGTTTGGGGGTCTTCAGAGGATGTCATCCATAAATTAAGTCGGTGTGGCTTTTCCCAGTATTCCTGTCTATCATTCTCTCCCCTTCAAGCTCTTTCTTTCCCTCCCTCCCCCTCCCCTCGTCCTCTTTCTCCCCATTTTTTAGCGACCGTACCTACCGGCAGATTCGCAGTGGACGACACGTTTGGCGTGAAGACGTTCAGGAACAGGCAGTCCTCACTGCTGCTGTTGCTGCGCCACCTGGTGATTTCGTACAGAAGTGTACCTGGCGGCCCCTCAATGTCGACGACCTGCGGACACCGGTTGCCGAACTGCGAGGCGTCCCGAACGCCGGTCCAGCCGGCCGGGTCCTGCGGAGGGCGCCATCTGGGAAGAGGAATGTGCAGCATTTATTTTAGTCCTAAAACAAATACTGCAAACCAAACTTCACAATTTTCAGAAACAGACTAACCAAAACGATAGAAAAAGAAAACATAAAGAACATCATCATCGGTCGACCGTAATGAACAATGGCAACATTTTACTTGATATACAAATACATTTTACGTTTAGCAAACGTTCACGGTCTGGGAAAAATGGGTGTGGCAGGTTCAGAAACGGTACTGATCAGTTGACGGTACAGAAGTGATCGGGGAAACCGCGAACATAAAAGCACCGGAAAGAAAGCAGGGAAGTACAGTATATGTTTGTGTGTACGTGCGCGCGCGTGAGTGTGTGTGTGTGTGTGTGTGCGTGCGTGTGCGTGCGTGCGTGTGTCCATGCGTCAGTGTGTGTCCTTGTATGCTTGTGTGTGTGTGTGTGTGTATCTGTGTGTGTGCGTGCGTGCGTGTGTGTCCATGCGTCAGTGTGTGTGCTTGTATGCTTGTGTGTGTGTGTGTGTGTGTGTGTGTGTGTGTGTGTGTGTGTGTGTGTGTGTACAAAATGATTCGAGAAGGCTTAGATATATGGTCTTCATATTGGATGGGTTACAATTTAACGTTATTAGGAATTCTTTCCCATTCGAAATCTGGCCTACGTAGACTGAAGAAACAAACAGACGTCTGACTCACCTGAGGTCCCCTACAGGTGGGGCGGCGTAAGGAATGCCCTTGAACGTGTAGATCCGGTCAAACACAGCGTCCCCTATGGTCGAGGTCAGGAACTCCACGCCATTCAAGTCACCATACGTGGTGGTGACAACAACTCCGTCTGGACAGGCAAAACGTTCTCATGATCTACATAAGTATTAACCCATATTTGTGTTATTTAGTACCTCCGTAAGTGGCGTTTTCTTTTATAGATACAAAATTCCTTTCCAACATATCAAATACCTGGTAGACACCTTAACCTTATTGTAAAATGCTACGGAATACAGAAAGCTCTTGGGGTTTGACTTCTTTTCGTAAGCAATGGAAGACCCCAACCCTGTTTTTCCCCAGCTGAATATATAAGTTTAATTTATTTTGCAAATTCATGCCCGAAGGCAACATACATAAAGAGAAATACATGTAGGTGACTATTCTATTCCAAAAAAAGTGACTATCTTACTCAAAATACAAACAAAACTTTTTTAATTAGACTTCTTCTTTTTTGGAAGCTGTCGTAGACAATTGTACCCCCTTTTTCTGCAATTAGTGGGGTTTGAGAGGTTAACAGGGTTTTAGTTTATTTTTCGTCAGTAACGGTTTGAAAATTGTGGTGAGATTTGGTGGCTTGTTTAAAGAACTCCTTTCTTTCCTGGTCATTAAAGGGGCAGTTGGAGATAAAATGTATTTTGTCCTCCACCGCTTTTGACGGGCAGTTCTTACAAATTGCAGTTCTTTCCCTACAGGTAACATTTGTACTGCCGTTTCTCGAATTCGAAAGGATTGGTGCTGAAAATATAAGTGTACATTGCACTATCACAGTAAGGAGATAAATACATAAATGTTTCACTTAGATTAAAGGCATGCAATAAGATTTCAGATTTCAGAGCAGCAAAACTCGAAATATTCTGAACTAGAGTTCCACGATCTCATACCTTCGCCAAATGATGTTAGCTTTTATGATTAAGAAATTATATATTAATCCCCCTAATTATGCAAATAGGATCATCAATTGCATGAATTATATCTGTTGATCTTTTCTCCACCAAAAGACAGTCTTATCTTAACAAAGAATGCCATGACATTTTCTCATAAATTATGCAAATGAGGTCCTTATTTGAATAAGTTATGTTTAATTATGTTCACCTTAACTTAACTTTCAAACACCCCAAGTATAAATTCCAGGCAGTTACCACTATGCAATTATAATATTTTCTCATTAATTATGCAAATTAAGTCTTCATTTGCATAATTGATATCTGCCTGTGTTTCTCTCATTCTTAATAACATATGTCACAAGCGTGAACTTCCTAGTATGGAATGCAGCTGATAAATAGAATTTCCCCATTAATTATGCAAATTACATCCATATTTCCATAATTGTAATATCATTATGTCAAGCATCACTCAAGCTACCTACATACCAAAAATCACGATGATCCATCAATCGGTTCTTGAGTTATCCCCCTTTAAACATTTGTCCATTAAACCCCCCCTGCAGTTCTAGAGCAAGCAACTAGGGGGCTCAAACTTATGTGACTTCATCCCCAGCACAAGAGCTATCTACCATCCAAATTTCGTCACCCTAGCATGTCTGGATCATGAGATATCAAAACCGGAAGTTCTGCTGCAGTACCATGACAAGCCGCCAGGGGGCCCAAAATCTAATCATTTTGAGGTCTCATCAAGCCCTATCCACCTACCAAGTATCAAGACAATCCATCAAGACCTACTCAAGTTATCGTGTTTACAGACAGACACACACACGAACGCCCCTGAAAACATAACCTTCTTGGCGAAGGTAATAAGGCAATCTTTGTGATAGTGACACATACTGCTTCACATTAGCACATGCAGTCAGCATTTCAACTTTGGGAATTTAAAACTGCAGAAGCTCCAAGATGAGTCATTTATTTTATGATTGGTACCCTAGAAATCAACCAAGGGCCCTCCCAGTAACCATTTTCCGTCAGAATTTGGGGTATATTTGCTCCATGAGGGTCAATATACATTGGGACAGTGTAGTTTCAACTCAGTATGTAGATAAATGACTAGAATATTGACTTTGAAAAATCGCATTTCCAAGCTCTAAAAACTGCATAAGATGCCTTTAAGTCAAATGAAACTCACCTGTCAGACCCAGTAGTGGCACCAGCACAGCCAAAACGACCAGCTCTCTGATTCCTAAGGTTTTACCTGCACGTCTGACCATCTTATCTCTCATCGTACGGGCAACGAATGTGTACTCTGCCCACAGCACGCCCTTTTATAAACTTGTGCTGCGTGCTAAACAAACGCTGATGTCATTTGCCGATTCAGCTAGCTACCAGCGTCAGGTGTCAGGCGTGCCAGAGTAAACAGTGGAATTTTTCCGAATACAGTACAATCGTATTGGTATACAGTACAATTTTACGGAATACAGTGCACTCGTATTAGTATACAGTGCAATTTTACTAGTAAAATTTTACTTGTAAAATTGCACTGTATACTAGTAAAATTGTACTGTATACTAATATGATTGCACTGTATTCCGTAAAATTGCACTGTATTCCGTAAAATTGCACTGTATTCCGTAAAATTGCATACTCTGGCACCCCTGGGTGTTGTCCGACGCTGACAGGGGTGAACGACCCGTAGAACGCTCAGTGTTTCAAGGCAACTTGATGACCAAATAAGGTCATCGCCGTGCCAACCAAATACGCTCCGTTCCGAGCGAGATCACCATATTCGGGCATGGAAAGTATATTGTAAACTATACATGGTAAATTCAGTGGATAGTTGTACTCAATGCAAGAAAGAAGTGAGTCATTTCTATATTTTGAAGAGTTGAGAAGTACGAAAAGTGCTGTACTACGTTAGACAGGAAGCCACTTGTTAACCCTATCTAGACCGGGCTTTTTTGAGCAAGATTTGACCGGGGGGGGGCTCTTTCGGCCCCCCCCCAAGAACTCGCTAACGGTATGTCGTATGGCTACCAAATTTTCAGAGGATGGTGTACTAGTTAAAATCATCATCATCATCATCATCTTCAGTACTGCTTAGCCTTCTAAAAAGAAGATTACTAGCAGCTGCGCTTTAGTACTGTGTGCAAAGTGCAAACAAAGGGTAAGGTAGGGATGGACGTGGACAAGTGCAAGGACAGGACAAGTGGAATCAGTGGTGCTAGTGTTACACGTATTTACATATGTACAAGGACCGGGAGGCAGCTCAATGCAGCGAAGCCCGTCCCAGCTCTGCTTTGAACTGGGAGATGGACTTCGCCTCCGCCACACTGGGCTCAAGTTCATTCCACTCCTTGATGGTGCGAGGGAAGAACGAGAGCCTGTAATAGTTGTTCTTACTCGCGATGGTCTGCAGCTTTAAAGCGTGATTAGTGCGGCGGGAGCATCGAGCTGCCGGGACGAGGCACGAGGTGTGGGGGACAGAGATGATGTTGTGCAGGACTTTGAACATATTAATTTATCATATCTACAATTTTTTTTGTCATTATGACGTAATATGACGTCTTTATGACGTCATTAATGGGATTTTATTGGCCAAAACCGTCTAGATAGGCTATTCCCTGAAAACTAAATGGTTGTTGCATTCCAAAACGTGTTATTCCAAATCATGATTTGGAATGGACCACGTTTTGGAATGCAGCAGGCATTCCACATGTTGTATTCCAAATCATATGGCGCAGCTGGATCACGATTTGGAATGTTCTAAAACGTGACCGGCCATGCTGTCAATCACAAATGATTGACAGGAGTGGTGATTAATTATTCATTCCGAAGTTTCCATATTTGGTCCGTTGGCTGCCTGTATACAGATACTGTGTTAAATCACGTCGTGTTTACTTGTCTGAACATGTCGTCGAACTTAGCGTGCCAAAGGTATAGCCCCCAGGTATTAGTACGTTCGAGCTGTATGGGGAAAATGACGTCAATGAACAGTACGATAATGTTCTTGGTATGATGTTCCATAGTCTGGTTCTGGCCTGAGTTTATCTTCATCAGTGTGCGGTCCTAAATGGTCGGACGCTCGCGCATCCGTTTCTCATTATTTTCCCGCTAATAGAATCACGTGATAGTTGTTTATACATAGAAGAGAGAACGTAATTTATAGCAAGGAGCTTTCATTTATAGTTAAAACTTTTGATATTTAAGTGAAGTTTGTAAATATTTAGCATTACTTTGTGTCATTTAATTACGCAAATATGCCTAATTTTGTAAGAATGTGGTCTCCACGGCCCATATGGGATATCTAGCCACGATATGGAATATTCCGAAACGTGCTCCAGACATGTTTTGGAATATTCCATTTCATGTCCTTTCTCTAGGCACGTTATGGAATATTCCGAAACATGTTTCAGACACGAAATGGAATATTCCAAAACGTGCTTCAGACATGTGGGCTTGGGAAAGGGCTTCGACAACAACAGTTTGTGTGGAGTTGTTGAGTTTGAACATTTGTTGATGAATTTTTAGATTGTGAAAGGGATGGCCGCCACAGCTGCGTGTGAGCCATGCTTCGGTTACCGCCAGTACACGGCCGAAGCATAGTTGAGTGTTGTGTGCGGTGTCCGACGGGCATGCCGTGACTAACACCGAGGAGGTTTAGAAGGTCAAAATATAGAGGCCGACAGCATGGGCAAAAGCTACCAATTTGAAACTTTGGGAAATATTTGACGTTAATCATGATTTAGATAGTTGACACAGGTATTCTAAAACGCGCGTGTGACATTTTGAGACTCCCATTTCATCATTAAAGTTTACACGTCTGACAGCCTGTAGCTACATGTATAATGGAACGCTAAGCGTTACAAAACATGCCCAGACACGTATCAGAAGTTCGAAGCTCCGCCCCCTAAGTACGAGGCTCCGCCCCCAGACACGTGATTACGAAAAGTCATGCTTTGGAATGCATCACGTTTTGGAATGCAACAGGCATTCCACTTCGTGTTATTCCAAATCATGTTTTGGAATGGACCACGTTTTGGAATGCAGGTGCATTCTATTCCAAATCATGATTTGGAATGGACCACGTTTTGGAATGCAACAATGGTAATCAACATAACTTTACCAAAAGTGTTTATGACAGAATATTAGAGTGTACTAAGTCTTATGTTGCCCATAGCAACACCGGTGACGTCATAAAATGACGTCATACATATTTAAGATATCCGCCATCTTGGATCATCAATGTTGAATTTTCAAAAATAGTTTTTTTTCGTGATAAAGCCTAAAATACATTGTAAACATACCAAAGACCTTCATTACCTTCGCCAAGAAGGTTATGTTTTCAGTAGCGTTTGTCCGTCTGTCTGTCTGTCTGTCGTGAACAGCATAACTCAAGAAGCTTAGTATGCATTGTCATGAAACTTGGTAGGTGGATAGGTCTTGATGAGAGCTAGAAATGATTAGATTTTGGGCCCCCTGGCGGCTTCTGTTGGTACTGCAGCAGAACTTCCGGTTTTGATATCTCGCGATCTGGACATGCTAGGGTCACGAATTTTAGTTGGTAGATAGCTCTTGAGATAGGGAAGAAGTGACATGAGTTTGGTCCCCCTAGCGGCTTGTTCTGGAACTGCAGGAGCATTTGTTGAAAAAATTTTCAAAGGATGATAACTAAGGAACCAGTTGACGGATTGTCGTGATTTTTGGTATGTAGGTAGCTGAAGGGATGCTTGACATAATCAAATGATAATTATGCAAATCAGGAGCTAATTTGCATAATTAATGAGGAAATTCTAAAACTCTGCATTGTTCGATAATAGGACTATGAAACACTTGTTAAATGTAATTGAGAATGAAAAAAATCTTAGGATATAGATTATGTAAACGAAGACCTAATTTGCATAATTAATGGCAAATTTTTATAATTTCATAGTTGTAACTGTTGGGAATTTCATACTTGCCACATTTGGAAGTTAAGTGAAGGCGAATATCAATAAACATAATTTATTCAAATCATGACCTCATTTGCATAATTTATGAGGAAGTGCTATAATAGCCTTTTTGTTAAGATAAGACTATCATTGGGTGGAGAATATGATCAACTGATATAACCCATGCAAATGAGGATCCTATTTGCAAAATCAATTATTAAAATTGTATAATCCATCATTTGGCGAAGGTATGA